CGCCACGGCCGACAAGGACGCTCTCTGCCTGGGTTCCTTTGGCGAGTCCCCGGCCTTCGGCGGCGCCATCCTGGCCTTCTCCGTGCAGTCCTGGGAGGCGGACGCGGGCGAAAAGCCCATGCCCTTCCGGGCAGCTGACTGCACCGCCCTCTCGCCCAGCGACGTCCTCGTCACCCTCGACTCGGCGTGGACCGAGTCCGGGAGCGTGAGGACGTTCGACGTCGAGCCGGAGCAGATCTGCTCCGAGGCGTACACCAAGGTCCTCGTCAGGCTCTTCGCGGGGCACCTCCCTCACGCAGAAACGTGCAGGAGGCTGGACGGCCGCCTCCCGACGGAGAGCGAAGTGGAGAGCTCCGTCCTGAATGTCTCCAGCGATCTCGCGCTCAACTGCTCCAATGCCAAGAACGTCTCCCTCTGGCTCGCCGGGCCGAAGCCGAGCCATGACGTGACGGCAACCTGCACGGCCTTGCTCGCCAACGGCAGCGTCGCGTCCTACCCGTGCATTAGCGAGGTCACGTGCAGCATCTGCTTCGTGCCAGCGAAGAAAAGGTTCACGGTCTACGGGCCCCTCGAAATCTTCGACCACCACTACACCCTGACTGTGGACGCCGAAGGCGCAGCGCAGTTCGTCGGCGACGTCTCGACGATACAGCGAGACGAGGACGGCTGGCTCCTGTCGTCGGATCTCCACGTGCAGACGATGCGCGTGGCGGGGCCGCTTCCAGTGGGCAGACACAGTTGGTTCTCAAGCCTCAAGAACAAGAATATGACCCTGACGATGACCTCCTGCGGGCCTGAGCAGTACTCCTGCGGGGACAACACCTGCATCGAGCGATCCGCCTTCTGCAACACCATCAGGGACTGTCGCGACGGGAGCGACGAGAGCGCGTGCAGCCCCGTGCGCCTGCCTCCCGAGTACGACAAGAGCAAAAACCCGCGCCTCGGCAGCAGCTCGCAGGGCCACCTCACCTACAGCGTGCACTTGTACGCGCTGAGTGACATCAAAACTGTCGAAGGGAAAGTCACCCTGGATATGAATATCTACGTCGCCTACAAGGACGAGCGGGTAACCTACTGGAATCTCAGAGACTTCGAGCAGAAGATTGACTGCGAAGAAATCTGGCACCCTGAGTTCACCGCTATCGCTGGCAGAATCGTGGGCCTTGCGTATCCAATGAAAGTCTATGACAGGCTGTGTGGCGTCGAGGTGACCTCTGCTGGACAGATTCGCTCTCTTAAGGATCCCCACATGGGTTTGTTTATTTATATACATATGTGTGTAGTTGGAGGTATGTAAATATATACATATATATATATATATATATATATATATATATATATATATATATATATATATATATATACATGCATATATATGTGTGTGTATGTGTGTACACACACAGACACGTATATACATGTGTATCCATATATATATATATATATATATATATATATATATATATATATATATATATATATATATATATATATTATATATATAGGTAAATATAGACACACACACACACACAAACATACACATACTTATATCTATGCTCAAGAGCATATAAGATATGTGCATGCGCGTGCAAGCTTGTTATATTGGTGCATATATATGACCGGAATGTCTGTGCGTGCGAAAGGGAGAGGGAGGAAGGAGGTGGCTCTGCTCCAACACTGCACGGAACGGAGGGCGCCTTCCTCCCCGGGCGTGAACTTCAGTGGCGACGGGTGTTCCAGTCTGTGATACAGGTGGGTCATCCCAGGTGTCTGGATGCGGTGGAGGTGGGCGAGGTAGCATCACAAGGTGGACAGCATGACCTTTCTTTGTTCGTAGAAAGTTTTCTGCTGTGTCAACATCTAAGGTCATTGGCGGTATATTCAAAATATAGCGACAGGTTGAGGCTTGGGGGCTAAGCCCTGGGTAAGGATGACTTTTTGGGTCACAAGGCTAAATTTGTGGATTCTCAGAATGGTTAAAGGTCAAAACAAATAAATATGCTAGTCATCGAAGGTCATACAACACTATGATAACGTATTGTGGCAAAAAGGTTAAATATTAGTTACCGAACAGGACAAAGATGTTAAGTTGCCAATGGCTGTCTAGCGCTGTAGGTTAGGAAGGTAGTGAAAACGGTAAGGAGGGAAGAGCACACGGAGGACAGTGGCCGTCTAGGACTGACACAGAACCAGCCCTTCATCCTTTCAGCATGGTTCTCATGCTTCAGGATGAGAAGAATAGGATGAAAGAAAGGAAAGATAAGGGGAAGAAGAAAAGATTTTGCAAATTTAGTTTAGGAGAAGGCTGAAGTTCATGGTAGGTATATGTTTCCTACACAATAACGAGCAAGGGATTGGGGTTGTTAGGTAGTATTGGACCATATGGCATCACTGAAGAAGGGGATATGTAATGGGAAGCAATATTTCATGATTTCTGTTGTTCTGATGCTTAAGAAACCATAACAATAACATGAAATGGTATACCTCATGTATTCACAAATGG